TTCCGCTCCTTCAGCAAGTTCTTGGTCTTACACCTCCTCCTCCTCCCTTAGAGGGTCCGCAGCCTGTCCGGTCGCAGCCACAGCTACAGCCTGCCTCCCCTTTGCCTGCTCCTTCTCCCTACGCTGGTCCGACTGGAGGTCTTACTGAGCGTCGTGAGCCTGCGTCTCGTCCTGTGTCGCCTGTTCGTACTGAGCGCGCTAGTGGTCGCGGGTCGCGTCAGCGTCCTCCTCCTGTCCCTGGCACGCACCGGATGTCTCTGCGTCCGTCCACTGCTCCTCTGCGTGCCCCTTTGCCTTCTCCTCCTGCTTCCTCTCTTCCTACTCTTGCCGACCCGGAGTCGGACTCTCTTCGTGCTGCCAGTCCTACTGTCACGCGTCTCCTTGCTACTGCTGTCACTGACCCTTCCTTCGAGTCGTCTGCTGCGTCTGCCCTTGTCACTGAGCTTGTCGACTTTGCTGCGCGCTGTCGTCTAGACTACGCTGCTCGTCTTGTCACTGAGTCTGAGTCCGCCTGTCCTCCGTCCGTCGGGGGTGAGTGTGCCCTTGGCACGGACGTCCTTGAGGACAGGCAGGAGGAGTTCCAGTGTCTGGCCGCCGCTTCACCTCGTCTCGCGTCTGTACTGCTAGCCCCTGAGGGAGACCCGGATGCACCAGACATCCCGACTCCGCGCTCTTACGCGGAGGCGATAGAGGGTCCCTACTCCTCTCAGTGGCAGGCAGCTATGGATGCAGAGATGGCTTCCTGGAAGTCCACAGGCACCTACGTTGACGCTGTTCCCCCTCCTGGGGCGAACATCGTCAGTGGTATGTGGATTTTCAGGGTGAAGCGGCCGCCGGGTTCTCCGCCTGTCTTCAAGGCGCGTTACGTGGCTCGTGGCTTCAGTCAGCGGCAGGGGGTTGACTACTTTCAGACCTTCTCCCCCACCCCGAAGATGACCACTCTTCGGGTTCTGCTGCACGTTGCTGCTCACCGTGACTACGAGCTGCACTCTCTCGACTTCAGCACAGCTTTCTTGCAGGGCAGCCTGCACGAGGAGATCTGGCTGCGTCGCCCACCTGGCTTCACTGGGTCTTTCCCTCCTGGCACCCAGTGGAGTCTTCGGCGTCCAGTCTACGGTCTCCGCCAGGCGCCACGTGAGTGGCACGACACACTGAGGACTACGCTCGCGGCACTTGGGTTTGCTCCTTCTACTGCCGACCCGTCGCTGTTTCTGCGCACCGACACCTCTCTGCCGCCGTTCTACATCCTCGTGTACGTCGACGACTTGGTCTTTGCCACTGCTGACACTGCTGGACTCGCCTACGTGAAGTCCGAGCTGCAGAAGAGACACACGTGCACAGACCTGGGTGAACTGCGCAGCTACCTTGGCTTGCAGATCACCCGGGACAGAGCACGCCGCACCATTACCCTGACTCAGTCACACATGGTGCAGCAGGTCCTTCAGCGCTTCGGCTTCACGTACTCCTCGCCTCAGGCCACTCCTCTGCCTACTCGCCACTTGCTCTCAGCTCTGCCTTCGGATGAGTCCGTAGAGTCGAGTGGCCCGTTTGCAGAGCTTGTTGGCTGCCTCATGTACCTGATGACCTGCACACGACCTGACCTCGCATACCCTCTTAGCATTCTCGCACGCTTTGTTGCTCCTGGGAGACACCGACCAGAGCACATGGCTGCAGCGAAGAGGGTGTTGCGCTACTTGTGCAGTACGTCGGGCATGGGGCTAGTGCTTGGAGGGCGCAGTCCAGTGGTCCTCACTGGGCACGCAGACGCTTCTTGGGCTGACGACCAGGCTACGCAGCGGTCGTCACAGGGTTACACCTTCAGCCTTGGTTCCGGCTCTGTCTCGTGGCGGGCTACCCGCTCGTCTTCTGTTCTCGGCTCCAGTTGTGAGGCTGAGATCTACGCTGGGGCTATGGCTGCACAGGAGTTACGCTGGCTCACCTACCTGCTGACCGACCTTGGAGAGCAGCCTCGTTCTCCTCCAGTCCTGTACGTAGACAACAAGGCCATGCTGGCCTTGTGTCGAGAGCAGCGACTGGAGCACAGAACGAAGCACATTGCTCTCCGCTACTTTCTTGCTCGTGAGCTACAGCAGCGTGGACAGCTGCGACTTGCGTACGTGGCCTCTGAGGCCAACACTGCTGATGTCTTCACCAAGGCACTTGCGCCTTGTGATCATCAGCGTTGCTGCACGCAGTTGGGTCTTGTGCCTGTCTTGCCTCACTTGCTCTCCTCTTGACCTTGCTTGTACCTTCGCATATATATACTCTTGCTCTTGCTTGCTTGACTCTTGTATACCTCTATATATGATCTTGCATGTGAACTGGCCGTGTGGCCTTTGAACTTGTGCTCGGAATGCGTGGTGACTTTGTGATCCACCCTGAGCTTTGCTTTGCTTTGCTTGATTGGTCTTGTGACCCCTTGTTCTCCCCCACTTTGCCTATGGGGGTGTGTCAGAACATATAGCTTACTTGTTTCTGTAGGCTATAGTGGGGTATCCCATAGGGGGTACAACCCAATTAGGGTTTCCTATTTGTACTCACTTCGTTCATAGTCATTCCATTCTCGTTCAATTCTTCTCACCCGTTACTGCTAACGGGGCTTCGCCGACTTCGCGCGCACTGTTGTCCCAAACCTCGCACTGCTGGACCGGCCGTGCCGGCTTGCGCTTCGGGACTAGCCCGAGCCTCGCTTCCAGCGTAGCACTAGCTAGCTCGCACGCACCGCGTTACCGTTTGCATGTTTCGCATATAAATGTTCGCTCATGCCTTCGCTCATTTTTTGTACTCGTTTGACACCTTAGTGCAATTCTCGCTACCTCAATTCGTTGCACCCGTAACACCAATATTCATCTGCCCAGTTCAATGCTGAAACTCCGATCGACACCGGATATGGCAAGGGTATCGTACGAGCCCTTTACGAGACTTATCGCCATGGTCGTTACGGAGTTACTATGAACGAACTCCGGCCATGTGGAGTTTGATTCTGCGAAGTCTATTATAGGAATCCTCAAACACAGGCACCGGCGAGCTTGTGCGACAGGAAGAACAGAAGAAAGTCGCAAGTATATCGCCCCATCGTCAACCTAGACAGGAAAAGGGAAACTATATTCTAGGTCCATACTTTCAGATTTCTCTCAAATTTAGCCCTAGGTTCACTCAAAAAGTACCACTTTCTAGAATTTCGCTCACGCGAGGCCCAAAGTATGTTCAAAACTGGTTCTGCGGGGCGAAGTTCTCGACACGTGTCCAATTTCGCTTGGAAAATTTTCGACAGGGCAAAAAATAATAAAACCCCTCGGGAACTAGGGCACATTTGCGGGAGGGATCAACCCTAAACACCAAGCGGGTCCCCGTGTTTAGGGTTGGTCCCTCCCGAACGTGTGTCCTGGTTCCCCTAGGGGTTTTATGTTTTTTGCCCGCGTCAGAAATTGCTAATACGAAATAGGACACGTGTCGAAAAGTTTGCCTCGTAGGACCAGTTTTGAACATAATCTGGGGTGAGAATTGTCAGTAGAGCTACACTGTGAGATCCCCGATCGATCCTAGGGGGGGTTAAAGGCGCGTTTGCCTGGGGGGTTATGGGCGCACTGACCCGCTACTGAAACAAGCCCTTTTATCCCAATGGTCTAGTGGTTGGGATTCTGACATGGTATCAGAGCGGTCTCGGGTTCGAATCCCGGTGTATGCACATGTTGGTCGTTGCCACTGTGCTCAGTCCTGGGCCTCCCAGTGTGGGGGGGTGTCAGTAGAGCTACACTGTGAGATCCCCGATTGATCCTAGGGGGGGTTACAAGCGCGTTTGCCTGGGGGGTTATGGGCGCACTGACCCGCTACTGAAACAAGCCATTTTATCCCAATGGTCTAGTGGTTGGGATTCTGACAAGAATTACTGTAGAACATGGATCGGTAATTTATCCTTACTCGCATGGCCTCGAATTACTCGAATGGCCTTCAAATTTTGTGATAATTACTCGAGTGGCCACGCCAGGGGATTCCCGCTGGCTTTTTTTTTCCCGGCGCATTACCCTACAAGGGTTCGTATCCCCGAAACCTCTGTATTGATAATTGCGCGATTTTCAATTTTCGCGATGATTTATGATGGATGTTTTCGCGTAATGATTTATATTCAAAATTTATGTTCGTGAGTCTATATGATCGCGCCTGATTGGACGCGCATATAGTCGACCAATCATGCGCGGTTATTTATGGTCGCGCACATCATATATTAGTGCCCCATCATATATTTCCGCGATCATAAACTGCAATGCGCAGGCGTCAATGTGTGTGACATTAAATGACCGCGCATGATTGGTCGATTATATGCGCGGTGCTTTGTTTTGCAATGCGCGTCCAATCAGGCACGGTCATATGGGGTCACGATCATAAATTTCGGATATTGAAGATCGCGCATTAATCATTACAGAGGTCTCGGGGGTACAAATCCTTGTAGGGTAATGCGCCGGGTAAAAACAAACCAGCGGGAATCCCCAGGCGTGGCCACTGGAGTAATTATCACCAAATTCGGTGGCCACTCGAGTAATTTGAGACCACGCGAGTAAGGATGAATCACCGATCCAGGTTCTACAGTAATTCTCTCTAATCTGGGCCTCGCGTGAGCAAACTTCTAGAAAGCTGTACTTTTTGAGGGAACTTGGGACTAAATTTGAGAGATTTTTGTAACTATGGAGCTGGGATGTACTTTCCCACAGGAAAATCCTCTTAACAAGTACAGTAGCTCCTAGACCGTACTTTAGTCGTTTTCGACTACTTGCCTTACTGCTTGTAGTTAGTTGCGACCTGCGGGTGCACAACCGTACGATTACACAATGGACCGTTCTAACCCCATCGCGATCACCACCGCAGGTAGCGACAGTGCAATTTGCAAGAATGACGCTTCGCCAGCAGCGTCAGCAGCGTCAGCGAAGAAACCCGCGCCGAAGCGCTACGTGCGCTCGCAGATCCCGAAGCAGATCTCGGAAGATCCTGCGCTTCTCGCCGCCATGTCAGTTCTGCCGCCCAATTACAACCTCGAGGTTCCCAAAACTGTCTGGCGCGTGCGACAAGCGAAAGCGCGCTGCGTGGCACTGCAGCTTCCGGAAGGCCTCCAGATGTTCGCGACGACCCTGTGTGACATTATCGAGCGGTTCGGCGGCGCGGAAGGCTGCGTGATTCTAGGCGACGTGACGTACGGCGCGTGCTGCATCGACGACGTTACCGCAGCAGCGCTTGGCGCGGACTTTCTGGTGCATTACGGGCACAGCTGCCTGGTTCCGTTGGATCATACGGTCATTCCGTGCCTCTACGTGTTCGTCGATATCACCATCGATGTGCCGCATTTTATAGACACCTTGAAGCTTAATTTCCCGTCAACAGACCATCTTGTACTCGCTGGTGAGTTTTTTCCCTTTTCCCTTTTCCTGCCCTACAAAAATGTAAGAGCAATTTTTTAGGGAAGCTGAGCGAGAGGCAGGTAAATTTGTTTGCCTGAGGACGGACCGTTCAACCCTTCTTAAACCTCATACCTCTGACCTATCACCGTTTTACAGGCCAAAACCCAACTTACAGCCTCCCCCCGCTCCTCCTCCTTGTCTCCTTTCCACCTCCCAAAAAATCCCTCATTTTTGCCAACGCATCCCCCCTCCCCTCTTCCCCTTGTCTCCCCCACCTCCCCCACCACCTCCCCCCCCTCTCCCCCTCCCAAGGCACCATTCAGTTCACAGCAGCGGTGCACGCGGCCATATCGGCTCTCCCAGGCCACTTAAGGGGCATTCCTGCTCCCTTCCCCACTTCCCGCTCTCCCAGGCACCATTCAGTTCACAGCAGCGGTGCACGCGGCCATATCGGCTCTCCCAGGCCACTTAAGGGGCATTCCTGCTCCCTTCCCCACTTCCCGCTCTCCCAGGCACCATTCAGTTCACAGCAGCGGTGCACGCGGCCATGTCGGCTCTCCCAGGCCACTTACGGGGCATTCCTGCTCCCTTCCCCACTTCCCGCTCTCCCAGGCACCATTCAGTTCACAGCAGCGGTGCACGCGTTCATATCGGCTCTCCCAGGCCACTTAAGGGGCATTCCTGCTCCCTTCCCCACTTCCCGCTCTCCCAGGCACCATTCAGTTCACATCAGCGGTGCACGCGGCCATATCGGCTCTCCCAGGCCACTTAAGGGGCATTCCTGCTCCCTTCCCCACTTCCCGCTCTCCCAGGCACCATTCAGTTCACAGCAGCGGTTCACGTTGCCAGAGCATCCCTCTCAGGCCACTTCAGAGGCATCACGGTGCATCAGGCCAAGCCTCTGTCTGGAAAAGAGGTTCTCGGCTGCACCGCTCCCTCGCTCTCTCCTTAGGGTCAACTCTGAGATTGCCCTTTAATTTCAGGTCCCCCTTCCCTTCGTTTCCCAATCTCTCCCCCCCTTGCTTCCCTTCTCCCTCTCTCTTTCCCTTTAGGCACCATTCAGTTCACAGCAGCGGTCCATGCGGCCAAATCAGCCCTCTCAGGCCACTTCCAAGCCATCACAGTGCCTCAGGCCAAACCACTGTCTGGAGGAGAGGTGCTTGGATGCACCGCTCCCTCGCTCTCTCCCTCGTTCGAGGGGGTAGCAGCAACAGAAGCAGCAGCAGGAGGAGCAAGGGTCGCAACAGGAACAGGAGAAGTAGCAGCAGCAGCAGCAGCAGCAGCAGCAGCAGCAGCAGCAGCAGCAGCAGCAGCAGCAGGAGGAGCAGGAGGAGCACGAGCAGGGGCAGCAGGGGCAGCAGCAGCAGCTGGGGCATGTGGTTCTGGTCCAGATGTGCTGGTTTTCGTGTCAGACGGTCGATTTCACCTCGAAGCCATGATGATCGCAAATCCCACCCTCCCAGCATTTCGCTATGACCCCTACACCCGCACCCTCACTCGCGAGCGCTACGACCATTCAGGCATGCGAAATGCGCGGCGGCTGGCGGTTACCCGGGCGAGCAGGGTGCGGGGGAAGCGGTGGGGTGTTGTGCAGGGTACCCTTGGTCACCAGGGTAACCCGCGCACTGTGGACCACTGCGTGAGGAGGATCCGCGCTGCGGGCGGGACGCCGGTGGTGTTTCTCGTCTCGGAGCTGACTCCGGAAAAGGTGGCGGCGGTGGGGGTGGGGTCTGGTGGGATGGCTGGGGCTTGTGTAACAGAAGCTGTTGGTGACGTGGCAGGAGCCGGTGTTGACGTGGCAGGATCAGTTGGCGATGTGGACAGGGCCCTCGGTGAGCTGTCAATAGGAGGAGGAAGCATTAAGCATGGCAGCACAACAAGCTTCGACAAGGAGAGTGGGCGAGGGACAGGCATCGATGCGTGGGTGCAGGTGGCATGTCCGAGACTGTCCATAGACTGGGGGGAGGCCTTTACTGCCCCCATGCTCACTTCCTATGAGCTTGAGGTTGCACTGGGGTTCGCTTCCCCCTGGTGGGGAGGCTGCTTCTGTGACAGTGACTCTAACGTCCAGGGGGGTTGTAACGAAGGTGATTGTACAGAGCGTGGTTCTGGGAGTGGTGCTACAGGAGATGGAAATGGGTCGCAAGAGGACCAGCTGCAACGGTGCAAGCAGTGCGGAGCTTGTAAAGGGGATAAGAGGGAGAGGGTGTACCCCATGGATCACTATGCCAGGGATGGCGGCCCTTGGAATGCTTCTTACATGCCTAAAAGAGCTGCTAGGTGATTTATGTCTGTATGACTCTTGTTAGCAGCTTATAGAGGGAATATTGTGTACATTCTTTTTCATTAAACCCATGCAACGTTCAGGGTTTAGGGTTCACATGTCATTGCTTTCTCGTTCAATGCATGTCATAGAGGGCCCCCGAAGATAACATGTGAGGTATCATATAAATTTCATGATGTTGCTATGCCGGCAGTTTTATAGCAGATTTTTTGTACACAATCTATTTTTAGCCTGAACAATAACCTAGAAGTGATTTTAATATAATGAGAAAGCACATACGAATCACATGCAGAGTCTCTAAGAAGTACCGGTACACATACTGCAATAAGTTCTTGAGGTTTGTAGTGAGTGACAAATTACAGAACAAAAATAGAGCTGTAGGTATTCTTCCTCTTGCACTCTTCTTACAGCAAAACGGACCTCGCTTGTTCGAGTTCCGCCTTTTTCCGAATCTGTGGTCAAATGAAAGTTGAATCTACTGTCAGCCAGGAGCGGAGCATGTTCTCTATAGCAAGTTCTCTTGAAATCTCATCCCATATCTCGACGGCCATAGCTATCCCGAGGTCAAATGGAGCTGTCTGATGTAATCAGGGAGCACGATGGTTTCATTGTCAAGTGGTACCTTGAGGACGACCTTCGTTAGAAGAATCAGTAGCGAGCATGGAGCTATTTATGGATCCTGATAAGTTATCAACTTAGCGACTGCTGAAACCGTAAGGTTGACTAGCATATTCGCATATATTCGCAATGCCTGCAGCTGCGGACGCTATGGCTTTCGAGGTTCGGTTTAGGATACCGAGTGACCTCGTTCAGCGGAGATCCGACGACAATAGCAGCGATTCACAATCCAACGACAACAATCCCGAAATTAAACCGTCGGGATCATCCCACGTGGACGTTCACGTGGCCGTCTCTCCAGAGGAGTCCCTACGAGCCGTCTTTACCAGATTGTTTCAGTCACATTTGCCGCATTGCTACCTGCAATGTCAGACACGTGAGCAACAGGGACCGGAGAATGGCGGGAACGCGGTCGGAAAGGACTTGGCTGGTGGAGCGCAGCAGTCGCAGGCGTCGCAGCTGTCGCAGCCGTCGCAGCAGGTCCGTTTCATGGTCTTAGGGCAAGTGGTGTATCTCTCGCCTGACTCCACCGTGGAACACGCGAAGCTCAAATCCGGTTCGACCATCAGGGTGTTTCCCGTGAAGACCGTGCATGAAGGTGTTCAAGATAAGGGCGAGGTGGGAGGTAAGCACGGAACGAGTGCTGCGCCTGCTGCTGCGCCTGCTGCTGCGCCTGCTGCTGCGCCTGTTGCTTCAGCTGCAGCAGCGGTGATGCCTCTTGCTGCTGCCTCTGCTGGTCTTCCTTCCACTGCCGCTGCACCTGCTTTAGCACCTGCTGCTGCACCTGTTTCAGCACCTGCCGCTGCACCTGCTTTAGCACCTGCCGTTGCACTGGCTGTTGCAACAGCTGCACCTGCTTCTCTGCCTGCTTCACCAACTGCTGCAACACCTGCTGCACCACCGACTGCACCGCCTGCTGCTCTGCCTGCTGCGCCTACCAGCAGCCGCATCGACTACAGCAAGTGGGATCACTTCGAGGCCAGCAGCGACGAGGAGGAGGAGGAGTTTCAAGAGGATGAGGATGAGGATGAAGAGGAGGAAGGGGAGGATGACGAGGAGGAGGAGGGGTTGGAGTACGTATTGGGACCGGACCTGAGTTCAAGAGGGGCAGCTGGAAAGAGTGGCGGAGGAAAGGGGAAGGCCGAGGCAGTTGCTGCTGAGAAAGGGACCATGAAGCACGAGGAAACAGATTCTGGGAAAGGAAGCAGCAATGACAAAAAAACAGCCCCGATGCAACAGGCGTCATCAGGTACAGCCAAACCAGAAAAGGCCAAGGCCGAGAGAGCAGAGCGAGAGGAAACAGGCGGTGTGCCGAAACGACCAGAGGAGGAGCAGCAGGAGGATGTCCAGCTGCTGGATCGAACGGACATGGTTCACTATCTCGACGTGAGGAACGGCTGGGATGTCGCCGCCTGCGAGCCGTGCTTGGATCGTGTGGTCTCCCGGCGGACAAAGCTCGCCCTGGGGATCCACAGCCTGAGGGACCTCCGCTCAACCCTCCGGCGGCACGTGAAAGAATCCGTCCCGCTCGCACCATCAGCCCGTCAGGCATCATCAGCAGCCCAGCATGCAGCGGCAGCAGCTCAGCAGGCGAAGGCACGGGCGATTGAAAAGTTCTCCTCGGGAGTTCCTTTGCCAGAGCGGGCGCTGGGAGGGAGGCAAGGGGTGCAGTCCTCTCGAGAGCGGTACAAATGGAAGTGCGAGCGGGCGGCGGGGGTTTGTGCAGAGGCGATGGTGTTAGAGTGGATGGCTGAGCCGCGTGTGGGTGTGCTCATGGACCTGGGGATGATCAGATCCCGCCTGCCGGCCATTCTAGGGGTTGAAGGCCCTGCTGTTGATTCCCCTGCTCCTGCTGCTGTCTCTGCTCCTGCTCTGGCGCAATTCGCTCCTCCCGCGGTCGCCTGGTCCTGCTGCTACCGCTGCAGCGGCTGCTGGGCTGCCTACCGCCGTGCTGTCAGCTTCGCCACCTTCCTCGTGATTGTAGCGAGGCTGCCCCGCATTGTGACTCTATGGAAGGCCCACTTGGACTCGGACTCTGCCACGTTCCCAGGGGTAATGGGTCATTTGGGGGCGGGCAGGCAGGAGAAGGAGGATCAGCTAGCTTCCTTGCTGGTACAGTTGCTCGGGGTGAAGGAGGCCAGTGAGCTGAAGGAGGGATTTGGGTTTTTCATGCAGAATTTGCTGTCTGGGGGGGTGAGGGAGCGTGGGGAGGGGGAGAGGAGGGAAGCGAGAGCAGGGGCGGCGGGCGGGGGGGCAGGGGGGGGGGTTGTTGAGCAGGCACGAGAGGAGGGATGGCGGATGTTTGAGGAGATGATGGGGATGATGCGCATGATGGGTGCTAGTGATGCGCCCACAGCGGCCGATGTGATGACGAGGATGCGGCATGTCATGGGGGTGGACGGGGAGGAGGAGGGAGGTGGCACGGTGGTGTGTATGGTGGAGGGGAGTGAGGCCAGGGCGAGGGGAGGGAGGCGTGGTGAGAGTGCTGGGAGGAAGGCTGGGAAGGATGGTAAGTGGAGGGAGCACCTGAAAGGGCCTGTGTGGGAGAGGTATGTGGATGGCATGGCTTGGATTCTGCAGCATGGAGGGAGGGAAGGGAGGGAGTTCCGGTGCAGCCACTGCAGTGACGGGGGCAGCAGCAGCAGCAGCAGCAGCAGCAGCAGCAGCAGCAGTAGCGGAATAAGCAGCAGTGGGATCAGCAGCAGCAACAGTGGCAGCAGTAGCAGCAATGGCGGCGTCGGCAGCAGAAGCAGCTTGGACAGCAGGGGTGCTCCCAAGGGCATGTATCTGAGCGGCGTGGGCGCCACCGAATTCGCCCTTGCATTCGCCACTGTGATTTCAGAAAGCGGGCAGCACAAGCAGGGCGAGGTGTTCTGCATGGACGCAGAGAGTGTGAACAAGTCGAATGTAGAAGATGCAGCGATCGAGGAGGCACGAGAGAGGCTTCTCAGGGAGAAGAAGGTGGGAAGGGAGGTGGAGGTGGGAGTGGGAGGTGCCATAGCTGATGCAGCAGCTGCATTGTCGGTCGTCAACAACACAAACCCGCCGCTCACTGGCCCACCCGCCCCTTCCCTCGTCCCTGTCAACACGAACCCGCTCGTCTCAGCAATGGCGTATCGGGTCGGCTGTATCCTGCAGTGGGTGCGAATCTACGGCTCAGATTTCATCTCATCTAGGGGGTGCTTCAAGGCTAGGCCTCAGGGAAAAGTCCTGCCCTTGCGGCACCCGCTTAGGGACCTTCCGAGCGTGCTGGTGAGGCTTGGAGCCATTCCCAAGCCTCTGCCTTGGAAGCAATTTGATTCGGAGTGGGAGGAGTGGCCACGTGGAAAGGAAGATGCAGTGAAGTTTCCTGAGGATCAGAGTGTGCGGTGTTTCCATCTGGGGTTTGTAGAGGAGGCGGGGGAGGGAGATCAGGAGAGCAGGGGAAGCAGCAAAGGCGGTGACAGGGGGAGCGGCGGGGGTAGTGGCGGGGGTAGTGGCGGGGGGAGCGGCAAAAGGCGTGGGCAGGGACGTGACAGGGGGAGTGGCGGGAAAGGGGGAGGGGGAGCGCACCCTTCCAGAGCACCAGCACCAGCACCAGCTCAGAACAGAGCCATGCCCATCGTGCGCTGTGCAGCAGACGCTCATTTCCTGGTGGAGTTCGCCGGGCATCAGGTCTACCCCCCCGCGTGCGCCCGCTGCCGCTCGTGCCTGGACCAGTTCACCTACCACATCCCCTTCCTCACCCTCCTCGCCAATTTCGCCTACCGCCCCGCCACCGTCCTCCTCAACCGCTTCCTCTCCGTCTTTCCCCCCCGCTCGCCGGAATTCGCTAAGCTCGTGGACCTTCTTCTGTTAGAGCCGTTCCCTCGGGGCACCTGTGCGGCATTCCAGGTGCACGTGGTGAGGGAGAGAGCAGAGGAGCTTCCCGTTCACTTTCTGCTCAACGTGGCTCTGAACTGGCCGAATGCGATGCTGCAGGTCGAGGAGATTGGCATGGTCGGTCGGGACAAGTGGAAGGGGGAGCTGCTGGGGGGGGCGGACGTGAGGAAGGCAGGGAGAAGGACGCGTGGGGATGGCGGGGGAGGGAGAGGAGAGGAAGGGGGGGAGGAGGAGGATGATGGGGAGGTGTGGGAGGAGGTGAAGGACTGGGGCTTTGCAGTGCTGATTGCGTGGAGGACGGATGCAATGACCGATCTGATCGACGACTGCAGACGAGGCAGCAGCAGCGGGGGGCCGCCACGCAAGTGCAGCAAGGACGTGGCGACAGAGCTGTGCAACAGGTGCCTGGAGTCAAGGTTCCGTGAGGAGTGGGACGGGGGGGTTCCGCCTCCCAGCAGCAGCATCTTCACCAGCGGAAGCAGCAGCAGTGGTAGTAGGGGGAAGGGGAAGAAAGAGAAAGAGGAGGAGGTGCCGGCTTATTTGAAGGCATGGCCAGGGGGTGTCAATCTGGTGGCTTGCCTGCGAGAGATGCTGCTGGGAGAGCCCTGCTACCGCCCTGCCCCCGCTGGTGCTGCCACTGGTGCTTCCTCTGCTTCAGCCTCTGCCCCTGCTGCTGCTTCTGCTGCTTCCGCATCGGCCACTTGCTCTGCCACTCGTGCTGCTGTAAGCACTGCTGCTGCTGCGGCTGCTCCAAGTTCTAATGACACAAATGCACATCAGGGCAGTGCAGGCCCCGGGAGTTCCAAAAAGCGTGTGTGCGGTGCTGCAGGGTGCGGCGTGGTGGAAGGCGGTGGTGTGAAGCTGAGGAGTTGCTCTGGGTGTGGCAGGGTGGCGTATTGCGGCAGGGAGTGCCAGAAGGCCCACTGGCCCTCCCACAAGCTCGCATGCCCGGGCAGGGCTGGTGGGAAGAAGAATGAGAAGAGCAATGACAATGTGAGTGTTTTTTGAAGTTTCTCATTCGGGGCAAAGTGAGTAGTGGAAGAATATGCAAGGGCAGTGGCTGGAGAGAACTGAAGATGACACAACTCAGCATTGCATGCAGTAGAGACCGTTTTTAGGTGCGATGGCCCTCCCACAAGCTCACATGCCTCGGAAGGGCTGGTGGGAAGAAGAGTGAGATGATTAATGAAAAGGTGAGTGGGCATTTGGTTTATGTGTCAGCTGCTGCTGACGGGTCAGGATAGGTGACAGGATACATCATGGGTCTAATCTCAAACACGACAGATGGGCATCTCTCCTGCACAAATCGTGATTTGATTCGGTTTGAATCCTCTCCTCCACTGTTGCCAGCTGCCTGTTTGCAATGTTGATTCACCTTGCACTCACAAACACCCCATACCTCCTGGCTTTCCTAGTTTCCTTGCTCTTCTATGGACATGTCTAAAGTCTTTTGACTCTACCATACGATGAGGACAGGCCACACTTGTACGTATCAGTGCTTTCTTTGTGACACGTTTTGAATGCCATTCAAACCCTTCAACATGATCAGAATAAGTTGACATGTTCTGCTGATATGCAGTGTGTTTTTCTACTGTTTGAGAGCCATCGTCTGACGTGGTACCGGTTTAGTTTTCACATTTTTATTTATTACAATTCTGGCATTGCTCCACCTAATACCTGTCATCCCCGGCTATAGGACCCGGGGAAATCTCTACATATTCACAATACCGTAATAAGTTTGAGGTGAACATTTAGGTGGCAGGAGTTTTTTACGTCTTTGGTACACTTATCTATCAGATATCAATCTGTTATTTAGAGTGTTCGACTCAATATGTGGCGCGGGAGGGCTCTTATATTTGTAACGAGCCCCCTGGTGTACAGACATTGCGCGAGTCTGACACAAACTGCGTGAGAGAATTCGATTCTGACACGAACAGCGTGTCAGAATTCGAATTTGCTTCTGTAAAAGATGACTCGCAATAGCAATTACGAGACAAGAAATAAGGGGTCTTACAGCGATTAGGGGCAAAAGGGGCTCCTCACAAAACGTCCCAAAAATAAAAGTTCCACTACCCTATGGTGACATGATGTATGTGGTTGACCGGATCAAACACCAGACCCCTGAACAAAAAAGTGCCATAGGACCCGGCACCAGGATTCCTTCTCATATACGGTAGTTTACAAATGTTCACCTGTTAATGTTGTTGGGCTGAGATAGCCCCTTAGGATCTTTGCAAGGGATAACTCTAGGTGAAGTAGTTGTAATAGCGGAAGCGTTTAGTGAAGAATTTGAACCGACCTTGCACTGGTGTGTGAGAGCAAAGTTGATTGAATTAAACAAGCAAATACAAGGATTTATATAAGAGTACAGGGAATAGATAACTGTATTGCTGTTGCGGTTCGATATAGCGCGACTCGGGCAACTGCTCTGTAACGAGTCAGTTGTGTGTCCTTAACTGTCGCGCTGTAATTGTCGAGTCAAAGGTCAGCGACCTTTGACTTTCTCGTAACCTCCAGGCGGTTACCCTAACCTCCGAGGTTGACTCGATGCTTCGATTGGGACTGCTTCGCTTGGTACCTTGGATTTTGATACGACAGAAGCGCACTTAGGACTTATTGTTTCCAACACTCCCCTTCGCTTCTGGAGTGTTACTGCTGGTGACGTGGCCTTGTCCAGTCAGCATCATGCAGTATTCGAACTTCTGCTTGCCGAGTTTCTTGGTCAAGTAATCGGCTGCCATCTCGGATGTTGGACAGTATGACAGATCGAGTTTCCCTTTTTTTTTATCTCGTCCTTCACGAAGAAATAGCGCAGGGCGATGTGTTTCGTCCTGTTTGCGAAGCCGTTTTTGTTGGCGATGCGAATTGCTGACTGGTTGTCGCAGAACACGGTGAAGCTGGGTAACTCGGCTAGCTTCGCTTCTTCCAGTAGTTCGCGAAGGTAAAGTCCCTCCTTGGTGGCTGAGCAGAGTGCAATATATTCTGCTTCTGCTGAAGATAGTGCGATTAACTCCTGCTTGCTCGACTGCCAGGAGATAGGACCGATAGGCTCAAGGCGGTAGACATAGCCGGTGCGTCAGCGCCTGTTGTCGGTGTCGCCGGCGTGATCGGCGTCGACGTAGCCGATTAGCTTAGTCGGTGTAGCTGCGCTCTTGTGGTAGGTTAGCCCGATCGTCGCGGTGCTGACGAAGTAGTGGAGAGCGCGATCAAGTTCCGCCAGGTGTTCAGCTTCAGGCTTCTTGAGATAGGTGGCGAGCTGACTTGCGGAGTAGGATAAGTCAGGACGGCAGGTGACGGCGGCGAATAGCAGGCATCCGAGCTTCTTCTGATAGTCGCGTATGCCGGCGGGCTTGAGTAGAGTAGTTCGTTCCTTCTCGGTTCCTGATGTGTAGCGGTAGGGCGTGGAGATGGCGCTTGGTGTGAGGCTGAAACGTTTCGCGATGGTGTCGGCGTATTTCTCGGCGCTTAGATAGATGGCGTTTTCTTCTTCGCGGATGTTGAGCCCGAGGTACTGTGTAACGGTGGAGGAGACCGTGAGCGTGAGGTCTTTCTGGAGCTCTTCTTCGAACCACGTGGCGATGCCGTCGGTTGACCCAATGTAGAGGAGATCGTCCACGTAGACGATCAGGAGAACGTAGTCGCTTCCCTTAGTGAGGCGGTACATGCCTTGGTCGTGAGGTAGTTGACTAAAGCCGATGCGGATGAGACGGGCGTGCAGGTACTGCTGCCACAGTCGCGGTGCCTGCTTGATCCCGTAGAGCGACTTAAGTAGTTGACAGATTCGGTTGGGTTCGCCGTGGGAACCGTGCGGGAGCTCGACGTAGATTTCTGCATCCACAGGTGCGTAGAGGAAGGCATTCGCGACGTCGATCTGCCGTAACTTCTTCTTCTTCGCAATGGCGGCAATGGCGAGGAGAATTCGGAGTGACGTGTGGCGGCTGACTGGAGCAAAGGTCTCGGTGAAGTCTCGTCCTTGCTCTTGGTCGAATCCACGTACGACCCAGCGTGCTTTGAATTTTTCGATCGTGCCGTCTGCTTTCGTCTTGATGCGGAAGACCCATTTCCCGGTAAGGATGGTTTTGTTCCGTGCCACGCTTACGGGAACAACCTTCCAAGTGTTGCGTTCCTCTAATGCCTTCAGTTCTCTATCCATGGCTTCACGCCATTTCTCCCTGTGTTCCCCCCCCAGAGCCTGCTGAACCGTTGCAGGCTCCTTAGGAAGCGAGCTGCGTGTGTTCCCGTGGACTGCGGTGACGAGGCCGAGGATTTGCAGCCCAGTCTGTGAGTATCGAGGGAGTTCTGGATCCTCGGGATAAGCTGCTTCGTCTCCCGTTTCTGGGTCGGGCATGAAATTTGGCCCTACCCTTTCTGCTTCGTTGGTGTTGACTGTCACAGGTGTTACGTAACCATCGTCGGCGAAACGGTAGAAGATTTCGGCGTTGTTACTGTCGCGAGTATTATCCTCATCCATGGGCACGTCGACGGAGCAGTATGGGAGAGGTCCGGCTTCTTCTGAGGCGTTGTCGACGTTCTGTTCATCCCAGTCTGCTTCGTCCGCTGCTGACGCGAAGGCTCGGTCACCACGAAAACCACTGGTGAGGTCCCGATTCTCGTGCAAGTTGGCGAGGTACGTCTGAAGGGTGAGTCTTTCGTAGAAGATCACGTCACGTGCTGCTACTGTTTCCTTTGTGTGGACGTCGAAGATTTTCCATGCGTTGTAATTTTTCTCGATGCCGAGGTGTAGTCCCCACTGTGCCCGTTGCGAAAATCTTCCCGCTCGTGCTTCTGGGGGTCTGTACTGTACCATGCACCCGAAAACTCGTAACATTTTCGTGCTGCCCTGCTTCCCTGTCCACAGCAGATGCGGTGATGCGTTGTTCGGGAGTGACGACGACGACAACAAGTTGTGTAGCATGACAGCGTGGTCCATTGCTGCTGGCCACTGGTGGTTGGGTAGCCGCATGCCACGTAATAGTTTGCGCATGCTGTTCTGCAGGGTCCTGTTCAGTCGTTCTGCAACACCTTGCTGCTGATGTGCGTAAGGAAAGGAGAGGAGTTGCTTGATCCCCCTTTCCGCCAAGAACTGCTTGAAGCGGTGAGAGGTGTACTCGCCACCTCCGTCTGACTGGAATTTTTTCAGTTGTGTTCCAGACTCTCTCTCTGCTATCGGTAGCCAGGCGGCGAATGCTGCGAGCGCCATGTCGCGGCTGGGTAGGTTGCGATGCCAGACGTATCGAGTGGCGGCGTCGATGAAGGTGATGGTGTAGTTGTAGTTGACTTGTCCTGGCTCGCGATTGTAGAGGATGTCGCTGTAGACTTTTTCGAGTGGTGCGTACGCTGGAGCGCTCGGGTTGTGATGTGAAGCAAACGGTCGATGAGGTAAGTCAGCTTCGGGACATATAAGGCAAGTCCCTCGTGCCTTCTGGAGTTCTCTGCCATCGGGTAGAAGTAGAGAATCTTTGTCAAGGACTCCTGCTCTTATCGTGTTATTCAAAACCGTGTTGCTTGGATGTCCTGTTCGTGCGTGCCAGATCTCTTCAGAGGCACGGTGTCCAGGTGAACGCTGATATGCGTCGGAGTTGGAGTAAAAGCTGGCGACGAGGTTGGCGCTTCGGTGGACTTCACGTTGAGTCGGATTCAGCTGTTTCGCGGGTGTTGGTGGTGCTTCGTCGACTGTGACTGGTGTCGTTGTTCCTGCTGCTGCTGATGTTGTTGCTGCTGCCGATGTTGTTACTGCTGCTGATGTTGTTGCTGCTGCCGATGTTGTTACTGCTGCTGATGTTGTTGCTGCTGCCGATGTTGTTACTGCTGCCGATTGTCGAATTGTTGCTAATGCTCGTGTTCGTTCTGCTTCAGGAATGGTGTGCGAGTACCAGAAGCCTCCTGGGCTGAAGTCGGGGTCGAGATCCGGAGGGTGTGTCCAGTCAGTGAAATTCACGATGGCGTCGCTGTCTGCAGTGCCCAGGTCAGGAACGAAGTCGAGGACGAGACGTTGTTCTTCAGCACTG